ATTCTTTAGACATAGACAAAACGTCATCGGCCATTTTGCAAAGAGGTTTTTGCAACCGAAGATGGTCCGTTTGAAGGGTTCTCTACGGTTTCGCGAAGTAGGCCCAGAGTACCACCATGAACCGTCGTCGAATTTTTGGGGAAATGACAGAAAACACTCGGGAGCCTCTTGTCAAAAACGTCCACATCACCTCGGAAAAACCTAAAAATTTATTTCCTTTTGAACTATTTATTAAATATTTTTTGTAATCACATAGTCTGTATTCTATTATAAGTCAGTTTTTTTAAAAAATTCTCTCTGTGCATTATATTTTGGTATTGATTTGTACGGTGATAATTTTTCCAGTTGTCGAATTTGTGCCTGTGGATACAAATACGAACGCAAATCAGAATGTCTACCTAAATATTCAAGAACGTAGGCGGCTCCTTGTGTCAATTTCTCATAGGCCAAGGGGTTTATGTTAGCTAATGAGTCACAAGCTTGGTGATAACAAGGATCGTGTATTGCACCAGCTATGCCACCCTTTCCTTGACCTAACATTTGGTCATAATAATCTCTTTCGTCTTTTGTTTTTGTACCGTCTGCACCGGCATCCAAACCCGATGCAACAATACCAGTGGCCAAAAATGGACCGTAATCACTACGACCACTAAATTCACTCATATTAAACGGTAGATTTTCACTAATAAACCAATCACGAAATAACTCTGTTAATCGAATACTGCCAGGAATGGCTTTTGGCGGGGTCATGCTAAGATCGGCCGTGTTACCATCATATATGCCCAACTGAAAATTTGGCGAACCTAACATATCATAATTGAGATTAACAAGATAATCCGAAATACGTTCGCCTTCAACTGTGCTAATTTTGGCTTGTTCAACATGATATTCGGAACCGACAAGTCCGACTTCTTCAGCACCCCACCAGCAGAATTTAACACGGTATTTATAGGATGCATAATTCGAAGTTTGGAATAGACGGGCTAAGTTTGTTGCTAGGACAAGATTCATTGCACTACCACTACCTACAAGCAAAAAAAATGTTTTAGGGTTTCTGGCGCCCGGATGACATAGTGGAAGAAGGTCTGAATTTATTTGAGAACGCAGGCTGCGAAGAATCAAGGCCTCTGTCGGTGGGACTGTAAATGTTTTCTTAATCTAGAAAACATTTTTTAAATCCTTACGTGAGTACACTAAAATCCGGTTTCGAAAATCATCGTGGATTCATTTTTCTTGTTCCTCGAACACCTTGCAGAATCGAAACTGGAAGACGCCTTGTGTGCTGAAAAAGGTAGCAACTATCGAACTGGATCGTTTGAAAAAACTCGGATTCAAATATATGGGGCTTTCTATGCAGAAAGAATCATTTTAAGCGACCTTTAATGAGGTTCAAACTTTGATTCCTTTATTTCAATGTCTGTTTTTTCTTAGGCGCATGCAAGGAACGTTTTCTACTTTTTGCTCATTTCTTCGGGAACGTCTTATTCTCGCTCTTTGGGTAAAAGCACACTTAGCGTTAAGCTGTCTTTTATCCGATAGTTTCGTCCTAAGGGATATCAAAAAATATAATTTATGTTTTCTGCTTTTCCCAGCTGTTTCGTGCATGAACAGAAAAAGTTTGACACATCAGATGAAAATTAGGCTTTGAAACTATATTTTTGAAATATCTTGTTTTTGATTTTTAAAAAAAATCAATGGACGTCAAAATCAAAGTCCTTTTTTCTACCAAAATCCTGAAGAAAAAACTGTATGGTGAGAAAATCCCTCATTTAGTTTCCCAAAAAAACGGCTTTCATTTTTTTTTGGAAAATTTTCAGCCTGTATGATCCCTCTGAAACATCGAAAATTTTTGCGTGCGAATAGCAAATTCGGAAAGCTCAGAAAATTGGCTAAATTATGTTCTAATAAAACATAAACATGGTATTTGAAATCAGAATAAAAAGTGAGTCGAACGATGTACATATCAATCGTCTGGTAAACTGGAAACTGGCTTAACATCCCATGTCCTTTATTGAAAAAATACTGGTGGTAGAAGTTGCTTTTTAATTCCCTTATTTGTCCAAAGTGCTCTGCTAGTCTGAGGAAAAGATTAAATAGATACTACATAAACAAACTGTTAGCACTCGATCATACTCTAGGGCTAGTTTACAGAAAATTTGACTAAAACAAACTCAGACAGAAAGGACTCAACAACAAAATTCTGCGCGGTAGATGATCGTTATAGTCTAAGTACTTTTCATTTAAAGGTACACTCACATAAGTGTGAAAATTTGATTAAACAGACTTCTGAATGCAAACAGATTAGTTAATCTTACCGTTATCATTAATCCCCGGGCCAGCTGGCACACCATCGCTGTGGCTTCCAATGACAATTGTCTGAGTTGCATCACCCGTCACTGTATGAGCACAAATATTGCCAACGGGTAATGGAACTTTTGTAGTTGAAATGTAAATTCTTACACCTGCATTCGTGGTTGAATCTTGCGCTGCATTGACCAAATTTGTGCCAGCCTGGAAGGATAAAAATAAGGCTGGAAATGATGCATCTTGGTGGACAGGCGCTGCAAGGGGCGGATTTCGATCACATGTAGCACCATCATTGTAAATCAGAAGACCAGCTACACGATATTTAGCAGCCAAGAGAGATTTATCTGTAAATGCACAAATCCCACGTTTAACAAGAACCACGCTGTTCTCAGGCGACGGTGTTGCTGCTTGCCAGTCAGACTCGTCACATCCGACATTCGGTATTGATGTTAGTCGAACTGGATCAGAAAAGTCGGCTGATCCAGAATATTGCATAAATGTGAAATCTTGTGTTAAACCGTATATTAGATTAACTTCCTCGCCGTTTATGTACGATCGCAAGGTAGGATCACTATTTAATGTAAATGAGTCGAAAGGAAAAAACTGCGTTTGAACTTTCAAGTTGGTATTTTTTGTTAAATAGTTGGTAATATAATCCAAAGTGCGATTAAATCCTTGTGTGTGAATTGCACGATTATTGTTTGACGTATCGGCAATTTTTTGCAATTCTTTCAGATGATTCATCATATGATCAATATGAATCGAGCATACCAACATACCATGATTACATTCCGCGTTAGTGCTTGATTTAACTCTTCGGATAACAACAGCTAGTGTAGCTGCTGCTAATGCTATTGTAACCACTGTAAATAAAGCGATAATACCGAGAAAAATGTAAATGCTCTTCGTCTTTAGAACTCGCTTATCGTCAGGATTTTGGGTGCAAACGTCACCTACAGCATTCATACTTTAGTGGTGAGGAAATTCTCCTAAAAGACGAAGTAAAGACACTGCTTAGAACGTAGAATCAAAATTATTTGCTGAGCAAGTCACCTTTTAACAAAAGGTAATTCAAAAATTTACATTGCCTGAAGATGTGGTACTACCCACGTCCAAAAAAACGGCCAGTTAATTTCCAGTAAAAAACGGCGCGTTAACGTTATGAAAACGGCAAAAAAACGCCCAGTCGTTAACTTGCCATTTTCAGTGTGGCCGTTTCACGGTCCAAAGATCGTCTGAAAACGGTCAGTTAACGGTCACCGTTTACTGACTGTTTGCTGAACGTTTCCAGACTATTTATTATTCACACAGAAGTTCGCCATTAACTGGCCGTTAACAGCTAGTTAACGGACCGTTTTTAGGCC